ATATAGCAAAAGGTTTTGACCAGGAAACGACACGTTGCTACAATTTTAACTGTTTTGAAATGTTACTATGAAACGACACGTCCCACGAAGGGATATGCAGTTATTCTAAATAACCGTTTCGAAAACAAAGGGATATGCAGTTATTTGTAATAATAGAGTTTTCACAGTGTTAGGAAGATATTAGACAAATTTAGGAAGAAGTAACATTAGTTTAGGAACGATTTCGTAAAGACAGATTTACAAAACCACATACGGAGAAAAAATATTTTAACCATGTAACGACACAATCCCCCTACTTTTACCACGAAACGACACGATCCCCCTATTTGTACCACAAAACGACACGTCCCACTACACTTATTAACCGTTTCACCGACTTATTAAATTACCTAACGATGCAATTAGGTGTGTTCTCTTATGTTAACATGATTTAGGAAGCCATCCTAAAAATAAACTTGGAAAATATAATGATTTAGGAAGCCTTCCTACTCCTAACTTACAACACATCAAAAACAGAATGATTTAGGAAGCCTTCCTAACTTATAACCAGCAAAAAGAGAATGATTTAGAAAGCCTTCCTAACTTACAACACATCAAAAAGAGAATGATTTAGGAAGCATTCCTAACTTATAACCAGCGAAAAGAATGATTTAGGAAGCCTTCCTAACCTAGTAAAATTGAATGATTTAGGAAGCTTCGTAGATAAAACTTGGGTAAGAGAAATAATTGAGGAAACCTTCCTAAGTTCTTTATTACGTTGTTAAAATTACAAAAGCTAGGAACATAGTTGAGAAACCAATGAAACAATCTGGAAAGCTTCCAAAAAATAAAAGTTACGAACATCATCCCAACAAACATAAAATGGCTATTGAAGTTCTTCCAAAAATAACTGGAAAGCTTCCGAAAAACAATGTTGAACAAACGAATGTATAATCAATCTATAGTTAGAATGTATAAGAAAGCTTCCGCATCTCTTGGACATTCCATAGCGAGAATCATATCTGATTCTTGCATGTGCTCTTGTTGTGTCCTCATGTGCCACATCTGCTACACTTGTGTCCTTCAGATTTAGAATTAGGGACCCCAAATTCTCCTGCAGCTTTCTTCCTCTTCTTAGGTGGCCTTCCACTGCTTAGCTTCGTGTTTGGTGAACAACATAGGTAATCATACACACCATCAGGAAAGGAACACGTATAAAGATTACCAGAAGGATGTATACTCTCAGCATAAGCTTTAGACCATGTTTCTTTGGTGTAGAAATCATCCACAAGCTTGTAGACATCCTTCCTTGTGCGTTTAGCAGCAACTACAGCATGCACGCAAGGGATCCTGTCTATGTTGAAAACGTTGCAACTGCAATGCTTGTTCTTCAAATGCACAACATACTTGTGAGAGTCATCCTTTACCTCAAACTCGTTCTCATCCACTTGGTAGACATCCAATACCATTGCTTCACCGTAGAGTTCGGAAATTTTGTCTGTTACATTCTGTGTTGCATACTTGTCAAGCTTATCAGCTTTTATCCTGCGCTCGTGAAACCAGGTGGTAAGGGTAAGCCTTATAGTCTCAAGTAAGGAAATAACAGTCAATTCCCTTGGAGCGTTTAACATAGAATTCAGAGACTCTGCAATGTTTGTTGTCATAATGTTGTATCTATTAGCAGGTGTGTGGGATCTAGACCACTTAACAAAATCTGCAGCCTCCAAGTAGGTAGCAAGGGTCGGGTTCCTGATCTTCAAATCACAGAAAATCTGATTGAACTCGAATTTAGTGTAAGCATCTGCATCAGCTTCCACCATAGGGATATGACCTTTCTTCCCAAATTTAGCTTTGATGTTCCTCAGAAGATGAACTCTACAAATCCCATGATGCGCGAGGGGATATATTACTGACAGAGCTTTAGCAATGGATGGCGCCCTATCAGACACAAACACCAAGTCATCTGCGTCAGGGATCACTGACTTCAATCCTCTAAAAAACCAAGTCCAAGCATCTTCATTTTCGGAATCTACAATCCCAAAAGCTAAAGGATAGAGGTGGAAGTCTCCATCTTGGGCAGAAGCTCCTAGTAGAGTACCCTTGAACTTGCCTTTGAGGAATGTGCCATCTACAGCAATCACTCTCCTCATGTACTCAAATCCTCTCAAGGATTGCCCAAATGCAACAAATGTATATTTGAACTTTCCCGCAGGATCTCTCTCTAGGAAACACTTTGAGCCTGGATTGGTCTCTTGAACCTTACACAACCACTTAGATAAGTTTAGGTAGCTTTCTTCAGGAGTTCCTCTGACCAAATTCTGAGCATACTCTTTCGTCCTCCAAGCCTTCTTGTAATTAATTTGTGCCCCATGAGTCAAATCTTACAAGTTCCATTATCTGTTTTGGCTTAAGACCATCTTTCTTCTCTGAGTAAACACTGCATATCAAAGAACCAAAAATTTTTGAAGTTGCTTGCCTGTGGTCGGAGTTTCTATATGTTGTATCAAAGCTATGTATTTCAACAAAGTGCTTTACCACAAAAAAAGTCGGAATCAACAAGCTTGGTTGCCCTCATCTGCCAACTGCATTTCTCATCCACACAGCGTAACATAGCCCTAGACTTGTCTGAATAACGAGTTCTGAATTCAAATTTCCTGTCAAGTGCATACTTCCTCATCTTCTGCATTAACTCTTCTTTACTCTTGAAATACTGGTTCACACGAATATTGTTGCTTCCTGCAGTCGAAGCTGGTAGTCCTATAGGAACTGGAGAAGATCTACAGCAGGAAGCAAACCACTAAAATAGTTTCCCTTTTCAGCAGTAAAGCATGTCTCCTCAGTAGCTTCGGTGACTGAAATGTTGCTCTCAACTGGTTCAGTTTGATTGTACGTGGTAGTTGAATGAATGTTTATTCCACTAGCCTAAAGACAAATGTTATATCAGTTAGAATTAGAAAAGAAAACGAAATAAAAATCATATTTAGGAAGCGCTTCCACATTAGGAGTCAAGTTAAAGCTGTTTTAGGAATACATTCCGGAAACGCTTCCTTAAAAAATCACGAAAACTGAGGTAATTTATAAGCGATAGGATACCTGAGCGGTTTGGGGTACGTGGTATTGAATGATTGTTGCTACTACTAGCCTGAAAACAAAAAACAGCACGAGTATTTAGGAAGGGACTTCTCTCATTTGGAAGCTATTCCTAAACTCATGGTAACTGGAAATCGAGAAATAGAGAGGGTACCTGTTCATTTTGGTCCTGTTTGCTACTCGAAATATTAGTACAGACAGTAGCCTAAGAAAATATTTGCATATAAGCCGATTTAGGAAGGCTTCCTAAATGAAACTTGCAAAGAGTAAATAATTTAGGAAGGCTTCGTAAATGAATAGAGAGGGTACCTGTTCATTTTCGTCATGTTTGCTACTTGAAATATTATTGCAGACAGTAGCCTAAGAAAATTTTCAGCAATTAGAATTAGAGAAGAATAAAACACAAATGATTGAAAAATTTGACGAACAACATTAAATTTATTTCACTAATTACCCATACAATGTTACCTGTTGTGTAAAATTCTCAATCGTTGCAAACAAACGAAGAATTCCAGCAGCTTTTTTCATCTTTATGAAGAAGTCTTTTTGGCGATCATTTCTGATTTGAAAGGGAATATCATATCCTAAACTTCCTGTCATAAGGGGATCTCTGTAGGTGAGAGTGATTACAATATCATCCATTCCCAAATCAGCCTTCACAACCCTTAGAAGGTCTTCATATGTGATATCTTCATCAACAACAGAGAATGAACCTCTTCTGCTTAAATCTACTTCAAACTCTCACTGATGATTCTCTCCGAATTTCCAGTCACCACAAATAATATATACACCAACCATATTTCTGTGAATTACAAAAACAAAAACACAGTTAAGAAGAAGAACAGAGAAATATACTAAATGAAGCAACCACAAAGAAGTATATGATCTTGAGTCGATGAACAAGAAGCTTTGAAAACAGCATTATCCCTGACTAAAGAAAGTAAACATTAGGACATCATGCTCGTCCTAAAGATGGTCGATATTGAAGAATCATAATCTAACACTTTAGCCATAATCTACTTTGATGTTAGTTATGAAGACATTCCTAGAGCAGACGAATGTCTTCCTAAGAGTAATCATGGGCTACGACTCTCTATATGGACTATGAGTAATCATCCAGTAAACAACTCAATATTCGTGTATGTTATACTAAAGCAACAATCCAAAATATATGCATACAAGCCGATTCAAGAACAGTTGCGAACATTTAGGAAGGCTTCCTAAATGAAACTTGCAAAGAGTAAATGATTTAGGAAGGCTTCGTAAATGAATATTCAAAAATTGTTTTCGATTCAAGAACAGTTGCGAACATTTAAGAATGTATTCATGTACCTTCCTGGAATGATCGAATATGTCGTCGTCGTCGATGGATTCCGAACTTCCTCGGCGGTGAAGCTCTAAGGTCATCTACTGTAGCCAAAGATGAATCGCGAAACTATCGTCGTCGTCACTTATGGCCAATTGACGCCGGTGAAGCTGGGAAATGAATCGCGAAACTATCTTTAGTTGTTGAGGCTGGGCAATCGACCTTGCCGATGATCAAATTTCAATTGTAAATCGAAACTCTCGTGAATTCAAGCTTAATGATGAATCGCGAGTCCTCGTCTTCTTCAATCACTGGAGATCGTCACCGGAAACGTCGTCGCCGGAGAAGATCGTAACTCTCGCGAATTCAAGCTTGGTGATGAATCACGAGTCCTCGTCTTCTTCAATCGCCGGAAATGAGTCGAGAAAACTCTCTTCGTCGTCACCGGAGACGATGGAAACTCTCTTTGTCGTCGCCGGAGAAAATCGAAACTTTATTCATAGTCGCAAATTCAAAAAGCTGTTATTCAAAAAAAATACAAAGCATTCGTTATTAAAAAAGGGTAATTTTATCAATCTAAACTATAAAATTCTATAGCGTGTTGTGTATAATATACACTGTATATGTGGAAAATACACTTTGATTAAGTGTATCTAAAGGAATTTCTCATAATCTTTTCAATGACTACGTAAAATATTTATATATAACAAGACGACATAAAAAGAAAAAACAAATCATACCATTTAATAACAGAAAACTTCAAATGTGTCCATAAAAAAGACATATTTGTCCATATAGTTTATTACATTACATGCTAACAGTTTTATGATCAACAGCTAATAAGTATGACAACAAACATGAGTGTCATTCTCCGACTCTATCTACAATCTTTTAAAATCTTAACCAAACCATAAACAAACCGCACTGATTCACACACTTCTCTTTCAATTCGGCTTCTTCAGCAACTCTTCGTACCAAGATCCATGAACATTACGCGACACGTTCGCCACAAGAACCAAAACGTCTGAAACCTCAATCACCTTGTCCGCGAGAGAAGCTGCTCCAATTCTTCTCAGTATTGTTTCCACCAACTGCTTTCTCCTCGTGTTGTTCCCTGCCAAAACAGCGGCTCTTATAGCTAGGTATATGGTCTGTGACACACGTGTGAACACTGCGTCTCCTGCTTGTAAGCTTTTCACAAGCATGTTAGCAATCACACGTTTCTTCGTCTCTGCTTCATCGTCAGAATCAAGAAGCTCGGAGAGTGTCTCCATGATTTCTGATAGACCCGCATCAGGTTTTGCATCTAACATCTCGTAGAGCCGGTTAATGCAAGTCCATGTAATGGTCTCCATGTTCGTAGGGAATGAGTTTTCTCTTACGAGTGTTTGCTGAAGGATCAACACACTAAAAGAAAGAAACAGAGCGATTACTAGGAAAAATAGAACGGTCATATTTCCGAATGAGGGAGGCAAGTTTTGTCATTAGTACTGACCTGATGGAGACAAGAATGATTTTCTGGATTTGGGATTGAATAGCTCTCAGCCTAGAGAGGTTAAGTTGAAATGTTTCAGGGACAGTTTCTAAAGTGAGACCACCAATTTCGCTCACCATTTTCAACAGGCCAAGACGAATAAGAAGATCCACAGTTTCTCCTTTACACTCTGATAGTTCAATTCCTGCAATGCAATTATGATCACACAAATCAACAAATGACCAAGATGTGATGGAAACATAGTCAAGGATTCTTCAATAGCCAAATGAGGGATTGATAGCTAAAACTATTCAATCACTTACAGTATATGATAGTTGTAAAATAAGTTCTACCATGTTAGTTGCTAAACTGGAAACTAAATTAAAAAAAAAAAAGGCAATTCTCAAAAGTACCACAAAATTAAGTTTTTGTTTTAAAAATACTGCAAAAATTGTTTTTTTTTTCAAAGTATCACAAAACTAACAACTAAACATCAAACCTAAAAACTAAATCATAAACCCTAAAAACTAAATCATAAACCCAAAATTTAAATTATGAATCCTTAAAAATCATTTTTAGTGCGTGTGGTATTTTTGAAAATAAGAAAACCTTTTCAGTGATATTTTGAACAAGGAAAACTGTGATGCTATTTTTGAAAAAAAACACATTAGTTATTTCTCTGAAAAAATCCCCATAAAGATGAGTAAAGTTGATAGATCGACACCAAACCTGGAAATGAAGACGAAGGGGTATTGACTTTTGAAACAGAGGGAACATTGCCTCCGGTACGCATGGTGGTCGAAGGGAGGCCTGATGATCCAGAGAGGTTATTATTTGTGACAACAGAAAGAGCATCTGTGTGTTCTTTCCACTCCTTCTCTGCGTCTCCTCTAACACTAAAGAGCCAACGCTTTGTCAATGGTAGAAAGGAAGACGCTTGTTCAGGGGAACCATGGCGACTGGAAAATGACTTCTTCAGATATTCCAGACCTGCAGGTCCCTTGAGAAGTGGCTCTAATAGTTTCAAACGAGATTTGCTGATTTCCTTCTTCAGAATCTACAAGAAGAGGACTCATTACGTGAAAACGTATTACCATTTTTAATCCCTCGGAGACTTTATTACAAAGTTCATGCTATGCAGAAAGCTTACGAAGATAAATTATCATACCTGAATCTGCTGCAAAACAAAGCGTAGCCCCTTAACCATTAAAACTGCATAAGACGAATTCGACTGGCCTTCACTCGGAACTATCTCTCCAAGTTCTGTCATTAATTTATGGTGAGTACTCCTGATTTCCTCTTCATTAGCTGGGGCAGAGAGTTTCAGCAAAATCCCAAGGGAAAACTCCAGAATATTCCCAAGATAAGCCATGTCGACATTCCCAGAAGTCAGTAACTGAATGATGCCAACAAAAAAAAAAAAAAAAAAAACATTAAGTACAGAAGTATATATCTTGTACCAACAATTAAGACAGAGGCTGTAGTAATAATCACCTGTGACAGCACATCCGTATCGATAGTTTGAACAATCTCTTGTCTCCAATCTTTAGGAGATATCTCACAGAGTTCATCTCTGACTTCGTTCATGAGTTTAAGAACCCAGCTAAAGTCTGGCTGCGACTGTTTCATTGATTCCATGATTCCATCCCAAAAAGCTTTTTCCATTGTCTCCTTAACCTTCACCTGTGATATAACAAATGTAAATAAATACGGTTCGAAGTCCAAAATAATATATATCACAGCTTATGTACTAATATTTATGCACCTGAAGGTTGTGTGTATCCCCACTGTTAGCGTCGAAGCTATCAGCAAAGCTACTGGTACTGTCATGGACAATTTCATTTACGATTACTTCATTCTCACTCGCCAATGTCGTATCCAAGCTATGACCTGCCACGTTTGGAGGAGAAATGACCTCGCTTCCTCCTAGAGAAACAAATTCGTGTTAGATTGAAGACTTGCTTGTATAATAATCTGTGAGCTTTTAGAGGTTTAACAGTATTACCAGACTTTAAAGACGGAGAAAAATTCGATGATCCTGGAGAAGATGAAGATGGACGAAGCGAATCTACAGAAGCTTTAGATTCTCCTGCTCCATGAGTTTCAGTGAATATAGTTGGAGACGATACCTTCATCTGAAAATATAGAAAATAGTTATTCTCCCTGTCAAGCTTATGACCTTCCATGGTCTATTAGGAGATTAAGCTAACTTTCGGTTCATGAAGACAGAGACTATTAAGGTACATACCAGCTTCTGACTGATGCCACCGTCTATTACTTTGGGAGACGAAGTGTGTTTCGCCTCAGACAGCTCTGGCTCTTGAGTTTCAGCTAACTCGTTTTCTAAAAGCTTAGCATCGTTAGTCTTCCAAACTACAAATCCTTTGAGATAAGAGCACCAAGCTTTATCAAATGCTTCTAGTTGAGATCTGAACTTTCTTGGACGTGGAGGTAACAGAGATGCATTGTCCTGGAGTGTAAACTCTGCTCCTTCCAATATAATCTTCACCAACAATTCAAACTCCCGGATAAGATACGCTGCAGATTCCGCTAACGCAATCTCATGTTCACCTCTTCCTCTAAAGATTGCATCTGGATGTTGCTTGATCATGTAGGCACAAAGAAAGATCCTAGCTGGGTATCTCGCAATCTTTTTGAGCTTTTGATATTCCATCTTCTTGGAACTAGGTGAGTTTTCTCTTCGAGCTTGGGGAACGATATGCTTAAGAAGATGATTGATATTCTCCACAGTGGATCCCTGAGAAAGGGAAAGTCTGATCTCCAAGCGGTCAAGAAACTCTTTCACTGTTCGAATTACAGCAACGGAGTTCATTTGAATGGCGAGCTGCTCAAACGGCACTGACTCGATGGACTTTTCGTCGATCCCCAGCCCGCGATAGGCTCTAACCAAGACAAAAGTAGATTTCTTGTTCTTTACAAATCTCCTCCAACATCTGAAGATTATTTCAAACAACAATATCAGACCATCAAAGTAAGAGACAGTGAAACATCTTACAAAACTTCTAAAGGGTAATACCAACCTTTCTAACATCCTCACAAGATGTTCTTGATTCTTCTTCATTGCTTCTAATCTCTGATGTGCAGAGCTATCCATGCCTCTCCATCTCCTCAGATACTGTGCTTTTAGTTTCTTGGCCTAGCAAAATGACATACCAAGAATGAACAATCAAACCAATTACACAAAAGAAATGATAAAAAGTTTGAAAATTTAAGCATACCCTTTGAAGCCGCTCTTCTAAACGGTCCTTCATCTTCCTTCTCTCAGCTTCCTTTCGACTCTGCACAGAGCTAGCAGCTCCGAAAACCCGTGTCAGCCTCGTGCTCGCTCTTCTCCTTTCCGCTTCAAGAATCCCCATCCGTTTGCTCTCAGCAGCTGCTCTCTTCTGATAAATCGCTGCACGAACGCTCTCTTTATACCTATTCTCCTGAATCGCTCTCTGCATCAAGCTCTGCGCAGCTCTCTGCCTCTTTGCAGCTCTCCGTTGCGCCATATCATTAAACAGAAGCATCCTGTTCTTCTCTGCCTTTTGAACCTTTTCTTCAACTTTTGTCTCTAACTCAACACGCTCCTTAACAACCCTTTCCTCAAGCCCGTTCTTTGCAGCTTGTCTTGCTTCATCTAGCTTTGTTAAACGAGCTAACTCCTTTTCTAGAATACTTAACCTAAAGCAATTACATCAATAAACTCACAGTCCTTCATCTACGATTTAAATTAAACACAAAATCTCTCTCTTTACCTCTTTTGTTCAGCAGCATTAAGCTTTGATTCAAGTCTTTGACTAAGCTCCTCCATACGAGCCAATCTCGGGCTTTTCATCTTAGGTCGCGCCTTGCTCGATAATGACTCATAGTATTGCTGCAAAATCAAATAAAGTAAGGAAATTTCTGTAAATCGGTTCTATTATCGTCATCGAAACTCGTAATCCGAATTTTGCGTTTACCTGACGACGGAGATCAGCTTCTCTGAGTTTGGAATCAATCTCTTCAGCGGATACGGGGCTTTTCGGTTCGACAAGACGGCGACGGAGCCTCCGTGGAAGAGTCTTTGGAGACGATGACGTCGTCAGGGTGTCCTCCTCGTTCGTCGGGAAACTCAGGGAGATTCCTCCTAACCTTTCGGGTTCCGTCATTGATTTCACAAACACGATTTTGCAGATCACGAGTGATTGAAAAAAAATGTAACTTTATTGGAAAACGAAAGAAACACGAAGAAAGCTGTTTTTTCTCACTCAGAGCGAAGAATGGAATTTACGCGTTTAGGTTGTTTCGAATTGTTCGTTTTGAAGAAGACGATACACGATTTAGACAATCGGACCCAATTTTTTCTGGAAATTTCCGAAATTATCCATTGAACCAGAACTATCTCATCTTTTATAGCTGTGGGACCACAGAAACATCGTTGTTTGATCCATGGGTTTCAAACTGAGCGAAAGGCCCAAGTATGTAAATTATATATCTGCCAGGCTTTTGTAAGAAACCTGCCCACTTGGTTTTATGAGAGCCCAGCCTCATTCAAATTTGGGGAAATTTCAAAACACCTTTAATGGTACCATTATTCCAACTAGTCACCGATATCTGGGAATTTGAGTCACAAACCGCTGATCCCGCTGATCCCGCCCTGTTAGACCTGCTGTGGGGCGGGTGCGGATCAGCTAAAATCAAAATTTCAAAGAAGCGGGGCGGATGCGGGTTGCAGCTTTTATACCGGGGCGGGTGCGAGTCTTACAATTTTAAGATGCTGATATGCGGGTACCCGCGTAAATGTGAAAAGTGTGTTGTTTTTAATTTTCTAGTTTGCGTGTGTGTTGTTTTTATGTTTAATAACTAAACTAGGTGACGTTTTGTTTATTGAAACTATGTATCGTTTTAAATAATGGAGAAAAAACCTAGCTTTCTCTTCTTCGCATCCCTTACGCAGTTACAGCCGTCGCCAAATTTCTCACATCTCTCTAAGACCATCTCTAATGTATTTCTTTATTTTTTCCTCCAAAATAGAATAATTTTAAAATAGAGGTGCACTTCTCTCCAATATGTTCTTCTATTTTTTCCTCTAAAAAAGAATATTTTAAGAATATTTTCTTTATAATTTGTTATTAACACTTTCTTTTCATAAAATTTATAAAGTAATCCCACTTATGTAATTGTTGACAAAAATTTCCATAAATAATAAAATATATTTTAATTAAATATTTATTTCATAAAAATATCACATCATATTATTAATTGAAAAGCAAGTTGGGCTGTGCTTGAGAGTTATAATGGTTGATTACATTTTGCCCCTTATGTGAATTTACTTTAATTACCCTTAATAAAATTAACAAATTAATATAATCTAATTTTTAATTAATTTTCATTTTTTAATAATATATTTTACTTTGTCACAAAAAAACAATGATTATATTTTTTTCAAATATATTAAGTTTGATTTCGAATCATTATAAAATCTGATTTTTTATTTATAAATAAACTAATATTATACTTTTTAAAAAATTTAATCTAACCCCGCACAAGGTGCGGGAAATACCTAGTAAGAGAATAAACGCACTCAAGCTGAAAAGCGACTACTGTCCTCATTCCTCAAAAGTGTTGTTCATCAAACATTACGTACTCTCTTAGTAATCCACCATAAGTTTATATTAAGAAAAGAGAAAAATACTATAAATCAACGTCGATGAGCTAAACACCCAATCCAAGAATACATGGTTGATTACCTTTTACCCCTTATATGAATTGACTTTAATTACCCTTAATAAAATTAATTAACTATAATATATGGATTAATATTATTTATATGAACAATTATTGATATATATATATATATACAAATCATATATTTATTTGGTTATCTTCCATAAATTTATTCGGCAAATATTCTATTATTTAAAATATCTTTTGTATTTATGCAAATTAAACACTTATTTTCACATCGATATATTTGATTAATAATTATCTTTACGTATATAAATATAAAAATATCAATATATAAACTCTAGAGTTTTCATGTATATATAGTTTTCGATCGTATTTTAGGGTTTGTGTTTTTCTATCAAATCATGAATCTTATGTGCCAACAATGGCTTTGATGAATTTTCTTATGTGCTCTAATGGTTAGTGCATATGTACTGATGCTTTGTGAATGTTTTATTTATTTTAAAGCTATCGATCTATTTTATGTCTTGGATTTTTTGTTTTCCATTCTTTTATTATTGATTTGTGATGTTATATTTGTTTTTCTTAGTTTCGAGACAATGGTGAGAGCATCTGTAAGACGAAGATTAACGATTGGAGGGATCGATACTTCTTTGTATTGATTAATGAATTCTCCGTCGTCGACCGAGACGTGCCGATTCGAACGAAATGGGTGGAGGTCATGGGTAGAAATTTGCCCGACCTGAAGTCTAACAGTGTCGTAGATAATTTTTCTTTTTACCTTCTTTTTGATCGGCTTTCTTCTAATTTTGCAGGTAACAGACATCAGGATGGACTGCCAGATGATAGTCCTCCTGAATGTGGACTCTCATATATTGGTCCCGAGCCTAACAGTTTTGGGACATTTTCGTTGTTTTGGGAAACACCAGTCATCGCTTCTAACAGTTGTAGCTTATCCTCGTCACTGCTTCCAGCTATATCAATAAAATACTTCCGCCAAAATACTAATTCTTTCAGTGTATTAAGGCATACCCAATAAAATTTGCCTTTTGGAATTTCTAAATCAAAGAATATGGCTTATGCTTTTTTTCACTCATTGTAGTCATTTTGGTCAAAAGCACCTGGGCGGAGTTGTTGTAAACTTTGTTGTTGGAACTCTGTATATCCAGCTATGGTGTCTTGTATGGTTGTTTCTAACGATTGTCTTCTCCGACCTCCTTGTGAACCACAACCAGTAGAAGGCCGTGATGTTTGACCTAATCTTTCTGAAGTACTCCCACGTCTAGTGTTTGTCTGCAAATTTAATCTTAATCGTTGTTGGCCTCTCCGAGCGGGATTTTGGACCGCTTCAGTGACAAGGGGTGAATCATCATCAACTATTACATGATATATGTCTTCCTCTTCTTACGTCTCAGGAACTTGTGTTTCGGGCATGTCACCACTATCAATGTCAGAACCATGAAAGTCGTCTTCATGCTCGTTTATCAACTATCTTCTTCTTTGGCCCGCAGAATATTGAGAATGTGATTTGACATCATGCAATACAAAACATCGCATTATCACATCCCAAAAATCTGGGGTTTTTCAGTTGAAAGCTTTTGTTATTTTGCATCCCTATAAATTTGGAACCATCAATTTATTTGGTACCTAAATTTAAATACTAATTTCATGATTATAAAAATATGTATACTTACCAATTCACGCTTTTTCCACCATGCGTCAGATGCATAGATTATAGATGTCTCGGGATCCACTGAAATACCAATAAAACTCATAAGAGCTTTCCATCTCTTGTAATTTTTTTTGAATTCATCAAGTTTGTTCTTAAAATAACCATAAGTTATATTCATGTTGAATGCCTTGTTGAACTTCTCAACCATATACTCTCTTCCAAAAGGATTAGAATTTTTAGTAGTGTAATTATTCATCGCAATTGCTTCATCAAACAATTCTATTAAGGTTTTTTCCATAACGTACGACCATTTGTCTTTGTCTTTGTTTTACAAATTATAAAATTATTATGTCAATTATTTTATTCAATTTTTTATAATGTTTTTAATATATATATATATATATATTATATACCCTTATGGTTGTTTCACTGGGAAGAGTTGGAGTTTCTACGGGAATCGGATCATTTCGACTTAAAGAATTTGTGCCCCGTCGATGATTAGATGCCATATCTAATAATAATAAAATTAAACAGCAATCATTTATTAAAAAGTTAATAAACGTATTTTTTATGCTTTGCACAAATTAAAGAATTTTTTTAACACAAAATAAAATATCCATGATGTGTACATATATTTATTTATCTGATGTAAGTCATATTTTAGAATAATTATTATTAGTTTTAATCAAATAATTATCTACATATTCGTATAAATATATCCTATATGCATATACTATAAAAATTCGTTATATATATTTATTTTATTAATTGTCTATTCTGAATATGTTAATAAGATCTTTATGAGTAACATCTAAATTTTTATGAGAAAATATCTTAATTTATAAAATCTTATCATTATTATTTCAGTTTGTAAAACTACTATTATTAAAATAAATTACTCTACTATACAATTCTATTTGTACTAAGTATATTATTCTATTTATAATTTCATAAAATATGTATAATTATAATAATTAATTTTAAATTTAAGTCAAACTATTGTTCTAAGACAATATTAAAACAAATTTTTTTATTTTATTTTTACAGTTAAGTGATAATCGAATATTGAAAGATAAGGTTGTTAAATAATTTATTTAAAGAGATAGTTATAAATACTTATATTATAAAATTTGAATGTAGTGTTAACCTACATATTTACAATTTATAGTTTTTTAAAAATAATATAGAATTAAATCTAACATAAGATTATAACTAGGTGTTTTCCCGCACCTTGTGCAGAGTTCAATTAAAATTATTAAAAAGTATAACATTAGTTTATTTATAGATAAAAAATCAGATTTTATAACGATTCGAAACCAAACTAAATATATTTCAAAAAAATATAAATTTTATGAGTATATTTTTTTTTGTGACAAAATAAAATATATTATTTATATCTTATTTTCTAATATCTTTTATTATCCGATAAAAACTTATATGTATGTTTTTTTGTTTTGTTGCATTTATCAAACATGATAAATAATTCTTTTATGCAAATTGGTAAATTAAGATTAATAAAATTCAAATTTTGTATTTAAAAGAAAACATAGCAATCCAAACTGACCAAAACCAAAAGATCCTTGTTTCATATCAACTAAACATTAATTAATATACATAGAGTTTTAAAAGGGTTTAAATGATTTAGAGTTTTATTTGTGGTCGCATAAACCAATTAGGCTAGTCAACAATATTATTAGGTTAAACAATCAAATTAAAATTAGTTTAATGAAATAATTAGGATTTTTTTTTATTTATGCTAGTTACCTTTTTTAGTAAACTGAATATTTTTATGATATAAACTCGAATTTAGAAATCTAGATTTAAAAAAATGAAAAATCAATTAAAAACTAGATTATATTAATAAAAAATCAAATGAAAATTAGATTATATTAATTTTTTTATTTCATTAATAGTAATTAAATTAAATTTACATAAGGGGTAAAAGGTAATCAACCATGATAACTCTCAACCACAACCCAACTTATTTGTCAATTAATAATATGATTGGGTAATCA